TCTACATTTCCCTTGTATCCAACTCTCGGATTTGCTTTGATTCTTCCATTCAAATGTGCTTCTTTACTGAGTTTTGCATAATCTTGGTTTTTTTTTTTTTTTTACCTACTCTTTTTTTGTTCCCAATGCAGATCTCTGGGGAAAAGTCGCATTCATTGCCTGTTATTTGTACGCCGAAGTTGCTCCAGTGATGCTTTTACTTTTTTGTTATGCATATGTGCATACACTCCGGTAATGAATAGTCCGGTTTGGAGAGAGACCGGTTCGTAATACAAGTAATTTTCTCGTTTCTTGTTTCTTTTTATTTTACAATAAATCAATTTACCACACATCCGAAATACATCCATTATTGTACATGATGACTGGTTTTTTTATCATCACTGGCAGATTAGAGGTACAGAGCCTGAAGGACGGCACTAAATGCCACCTTCAACTGCGATGTGAGCATTCCAGACCAGGATTGTTTTGGGCAAAAAGCTGACATTCAGGCCAGTTCTATGATCTTATACTGTTTTGTAAGTAAGGTACAAGGGAATGGGTTTGGGGAAAAGGAAAAGGGGACGACAGGGGGAACCGCAGTTGATATGTTGGCAATAATCAGATTTTCATGCATTCCTCTTTGCTGAAATTAGCGTCGCGGCATTGCAGGGGAAGTATGTGAGTTTCGGCGGTATTTTGTAAAACTTGGCTAGGAGAGGCTTTTATTATAAGACCTATTTTTTTTCCGAACGGCTGGTCCCATTGGGGTTTTCGTGACTAAAAGTTGGGGAGTAGAGAGAGACAAGCGGGAGAAGGAGGCGAGAACTGGGGTGATGGTTTACGTTTCGAGAGTCGTAGCAGAGAGGAAGGAATCGGGGGAAAAGCTGTTTGGAAGCAGGAATTAGAAAGCGGCAGGGTTTCTAAGAGAAGAGGCATCTGCGTGTTTTTTATGCTCAACATGAAACTTGACGGCGAGGGGAAGTTAGCAACCTTGAATGCCACAGCCAGAGAAAAGCCCGAGGCTATGATTTTCGGGGCTGAACCTGAATTCAAATCTCATAAAATTGAGTGCATATTCTCACCAAATCTCATAAAATTGAGTGCCAACCCAACCTTTAGTGACTGCGCATCTTTTGGGTAGTTTTCTAACACCATTTAGTACCGTTTATAGTAGTGTATGATCTGTTTCAAAATAGTCTGCTAGTGATTTCACCGGTGAATTATTGCAGTGGCCAGATTCGTTTTCGATTTTTCCGGGGTTCAGTTCATCGTCTTCCACTGGGCTGCAGGACTGTTCTTCTCGCTGGCTGCCTTCCTCTGGACTCACCGATATTATCGAATCCTCAACTGAGCCACCCACTGAGTTGCACGTCACCTGAATGCACAGTTCACCGGGTTTTTCTCGGCTTAGAAAGTTTAATATAATCATTTTTCTCTTTCTGCCCTTTTTCTTTAACCTGCCTTTCTGGCTCAACAGACTGCTGTAGTGATGACAAATGGAGCTTACTTTCGTTTCTGGGGATCGACTGATAGGGAGACCCTGTTGAGCCGTCTGGTCAGCCAGCATTATCATACTTAACCGAAGAGTTTGCTGCTGCAGAATTCCTCTGATAAAAGGACAGTCCTGTTGAAGGATGATTTTTGACCAGTGATACCAATTACACCAAGGCCAAGTGCGGCAGTCTTATAGAAAGTGGACTCAAGAATGACTGAGTTTACCGGTTTATCACATCGGGTGCTTACGAGATGCGGTCCGTGAGGTGAACTGCTCGATGCTTCTCGGTGCCGCATACTGTTGCGCCGGAATTTTGCTCGTGCGTTTTGAAACCAAACCTAAAGCAAATCACTGGACTTTTTGAAATATGCATTATAAGTTTCAAGAGAAATCCGCAAGCTCCCCCTCATCGTAATGGCTGATAACTGTACGGAACCTGTAAGACCCTCTTCGTGAGTCCAGTTCTTTGTGCTAGCTGCTTGAGATCCTTTGCATCCGGATTATGATTCAGATTGAAATAACTTTTCATTGTCCTCAGTTGGTGGTGCTTAAAACTGGTTCGCATTCTTTTCGATTTGTGTGTTGCTCCGAGTGCATCCTCTTCACAGTAATCTGCAAAAATTTTTGCTAAAATCGAATTTCGAACGAGGCCGAAGAGACAGTAAAATTTGCTTAACTCAGCACAATCAACGGAGTCCTCGCTGTGGCTAACAGTTGCCACATATGATGTCTGAGAAATTTACTGGCCACTGCATACAGTGCCCAAAGAAATGATGTTAGATTTAAATCCAGCAAAGTTTGTTAGTATAGAATTTTGACAAGTTAGTTTAAAGCAACGCAAATTTGGTTATAATATTTGCAAACGTCACTATGCCGTAGTTTGTGCTGTCGTGTCTGAATGCAGTACGATTTCAAAAAGTTGGGTTGAAGAAAGCAGTACGCTGGAATCCTTTTCTATTTGTGTATTGCTCCGAGCACATACTGCAGCATACGGTCAAAAATAATAATAATTGGCCAACGCACGGGCTGCCCATGCGAAGATGCGTTTTTTGCGTAGTCCCACGCAGTTTATGTCGCTATTGGCACTCGTTTTTCCAGCAAATGCTTTTAGTTAAACAAATTAAGACTGGCCGTCAGAACTGTCAGGAAACACCCCTTAAAATTTCAGTTTTCTAGCTTTTCTTGCTCCTGAGTTAGCAACTTGGTGGAAAAACTTTAACGGGCCCGTACGGGGGAACCACACATGCTCGATGTCTGTGTTTGAGCTCGTTAGGACTTATTTGGACGGGGGACATTCTCTTAAAATTACAACCTTCCAGTATTTCAGGTTCTTGAGTTAGCAACTTACCCGAAAGAAATTTTGGCGGGCCCGCACGTAAGTACCACCTGTAC